TAAAAAACTAAAAAAAAAAAACTCGCGACGCATAACAGAAATGCTTCCTGCTTCGCATCGCATTAAAAACTCGCGACGGACTACATAAATGCTTCTGCTTCGCATCGCATTAATAATTTGAATTTATTCATTAAACACTGAAACAAACATAGTTTCTGTCGATGCAACGAAGTCTAGAACTCGAGCAAACTTTTATGAAGCATGATTACAATCAAAAACATTCAAGAAGGCGATAAATGATACATTTTTTTCTATAACGGAGAGATGCAATTGAAAGATACATCAAATTGAATAGATGTTATGCAAGATTGAAATAAAGTTTGTTGTTATTATTCAAATAATAATAACAGCAGAATTAGTCGTTGAAAAATAACAGATAATTGACGTGGTTTCACACAATATAGGATCTTACAATAGAATAAAAAAAGTTCTTTTTATAATATCTTTAGTCGATGAGACATTTCCATTTGAATAATAATTATTATTAATTGATTATCATTAAAAACGAAAGTGAAAGATATTTGACAAAAAATGGTTATGCATTTTTATTGTAATTATTATCGTACCATCTACCACCAGATGACGCTACAGACTGTGTTGGCATTCGATGCGCCACAGTGATATTACCAAGTTCATAGATATGTCTCGAGTTTTTGTCAGACGGTTTTACTACGTAATTTATACAAACGACAGGACCCTTTTCAAAACTACTGGCAGGAGCTGAATTAGGTTTTGCTGTATCGTTGAACGTATTTGGTGACGGTGCATTAACTTCATTTAAGTTCGGTTGCAGCATAGTTGGAGATAAAACCAACTGAGCTCGACTATTTTGAGCTGAAGAAGGCGACATTGGCTCTACAGTTGTTGTGAATTGTTTAGACGGATCTTCAGACGAAAGTTTATTGTTTTCATCAGATGGTGTAGACGTTTCGGGTGGCTTCTAAAATACACAATGTATCGCATAGGTTTACAGTTACTATATAAGAATAAGTATTCATAGAAAACTTACCTTTTGTAATGCTGTTGATTCATAATTGGCACTTTTATGTTTTATTATAGTTTTCCTTTTCTTAGCTAATTCAGCGACAGCTTGTGCAGGAGGTTGATATCCACTATAAACAGAACCTCGTACTACTACTTTTGCGCCGTCTCTTCTAGGTTGAATAGGCCTTTTTATATGGTCTTCCTCATCTTCTTCTGTACTACTGCTTGAATTACCCATTACTGAGTATTTTTCAATCAAATGCTCGAATGAAACAAGTTAAATTCTGTTGAATTTAAAAACACGTGGTCAAAATGGGATTATAAGAAATTTATTTTATTTTTTCCACGCAAACATTCACCCAGACAACATACTTTATGTTAAATATATATCTTCGGACGATATTCTGTTTTATTATTATTTTCAAAGCTTGTTTCTTTCTTTTTTTAATAGTAACACTTGATTGCGCTATGCTACACTATGAAAGAACATATGAAAAAACACATGACATCAAAGAAAAGAAGAACTATAGGACAATCATTTCAATTACATCTCCAAATCAACATAGAGAAATAGAACAAAAAACAAATACAGAGATTGAAGATCGAAAGCTGTGAGCGCAGAAAGTATGCTAACTATTGCTTAATGAGGTTGACTAAATACAGAGACTAACAAGATTTTTTCGGAATTTATTTATTTATTACAAATTTATTAGGATTGATTAATTGTGATGATATTTTAACGTGCCCATAATTCATCCCACATTTACCACCGAATGTTCTTCTTTTTATACGCATACTTATCGGTGGCACTTTCATTTAATTGCATCTATTTGAAATAGAAATGTGAGTGTTGGAAAGCTATTAATTTACGATTAATCGCAAATTCCGTGTGCGTTAGTATCGTTCGGCGATTTATTCGAAATATCGTCAGCATTATTTTCACAATACATGTATGAATTGATTAAATCAAGAAAAAATAAATCGATTTGAAAACTCGTTATCATCATGAATTCAATGTATTTACATGATTATGTGTGTAAGTATTTCAACAATGAAGTTAAATATATTTTACAAATAAATTAAATAAGTACTTCGGAGCTGTTCTTATTATATTGTCTCTTAGATTCATAGCAACTTTTGCATGTCGTATTATATTGATGACTTTTCGTTGATACATATATATTTGTTGATGTGCCAACAAAAAGCCAAGATAAAGATTAATGGTTTTTATTCGCACCAGTAGACGGGTATTGTTGAACTGTAGTAGAAGGTGTAGATTTTTGAGCTAAAGTGGCAGGTGGCGGGTTTGTACTTGAAAAATCATCGTCATCAAATGAACAGGAACTATCTCGAAGGAATGAAGGAGTGACTCGCATTGTTTTTGTAAACTGGACTCCCAGTTTTCTCTAAGAATAACAGGAGTCGAACGACCATCATTTACAGCCGCGTTGGATATTTGCAATGAGTCATCGGCTCTAAAGAATACAGAAGGATTTGTTTGTGTTGCACGGTCTGAAGGAATTGGAAGCTGTGGTGGTGGATGATGATGAACATGAATAGAATTATTATGATGGTGATGGCTATGATACTTATGGGTTGGTGAAGAATTTTCTGGTCGATACTCAAATATAATAATACAGTCAATATTAAATCCGTCGTTGCACAAGACTCCCTTACCTCTTCCACTTGTGTTTGGGAAGTATATACCTGTGGAATAGCGTTTTGAGTAGGTTCTAAAGGCTGATTAGTTATATTTTCAGGATAACCTGTCTGTATGGGTGCGGAAGAATTTGGATAGGACGCTTGTCTCTTTAAAATTGGCCTCAGTGGAGATCTTGGATAATAGTACGCTGGTGGTTTGATACTTTCACTACCCATTGTATGATATTAATTATGACAAATGAATGAAAAGAACCTTTTACAAGGAATTGAAATGTTTTTGCCATGAGACATTTTCAAAATGGGATTAGAGCACATTTATTAATTGAATCATAATTTGTTATTTTCATACAAAAAATATACAGACTCTACATGCTTTATTTACAAATTCGAAATCATAAACATTTGTTATTTTCTTCGATTTCTTGTGACCATCATTGATTTAGCACGTGTTTTTGGTTGAGTTTTACTCTTATTCGTACCAGTTGATAAGATTGTTCGATCGTCTCCATCGACATCGCGGTTACGACTTCGTACCATAGATTTGGTACGGAGTCGAGTCGATTTCTTCTTTTCATCAGCAACTATTTGAGTCGTCGATAGAGTCACATTATTGAATCGATGAGAGCCTAGAAGTTATGATTGTTAAATTACAAGAAAAAAAAACAGGAAATCTAATTTTACGTGTTGAAAATCGTGTAGAATAATGTTTTGATCGATCGATGACGGGTAACGGTGATGGCTCTCGAATAGGAGCTTCTAATGAAATAAAAATTAACAGTTTTGTTTTTGTGAAATAACAGAAATAAACCTTTTATTTTCTTTGCTCTTGTTTTTCTTGTATTGGTTTTTGGTTTTGGTGGGGATCCAATAGTTTTCTTCTTACATAAAGCAACGGTATTATTATTTGTATCATCAGATATTGATTGTTTACGTTTTCGACCTCGTCGTTGCTTTGTATCAACTTGCGCCGGTTGTTTTCGTATTATACGTCGTGTCACTTGAACTGGTTCTACTATCGGTACAACTTTAGTTCGCTTAACACGCGTTTGTCGTTTTGCGTAAACCATGGATTTCCTATAAACGCAGAATAAAATTGTTTTATTAACGAAAAGTAATATTTTACTGATGCACAGGTGTTTCGGCATGATAAGAGTCTTCCACGTCATGAGATTCTTCTACTTGATAAGATTCTTCCATAGGTTGTTGTTGTATTGGTATTGGTTGCTTTGAAACAATAATCATAGGTATTTCCTCACTAATTTTTGGTCGTAAATTTTCTTGATCTTCACTTTCTTCAACTTCTTCGGTTCTCATATTATCAAGTAAAAATGTTTGACCGAATCGACGAAGTATGTTTTTAGGTTTTTCGATGTCTAAATTATAAAATATATCAAATACATTGCTGCTTTGTAGGCAGAGAAAATTGCATGTCAGATTTGATTCCTTAGCAATTTAAAGAGATCCTATTCTAAATAGTCTAATTTTTGGTGAGAAGTGAAAATTAGTATTGATTCATATCGTTTTCCAAATGATGAAGATAAAGCGTATAAACTGACTTATTATTAAGAAACAATCAATATCACTCTTCTTTCGATGATAAAAACATATAATAGTCAAAGAGATTTGTTGAAGCTCTAATCAACCCGCAAGTTCTATTATTATTTCATTCAAATTACTTGTTTGGTTTTGATCAATAGTTGAAAGAACAGGCTGTAACAATTCTAGTTCTTCATTATCTTGAAGGAATGTTGGTGAAAAATATAGATGAGCTGGTGGTTTTGGTTGTGAATAACTTGGTGCCATTTCAACATCGTTTGTAGGTATAGATTCAATGGGAACAACTTCATCATGATATGAATCATTTGGCGCAACTTCATCGTGATATGAATCATTCGGTTCTGTCATTGTTGATTGTTCAATTTTGACGACGAATGTTGTATCAATAACTGGAAGTGTTCGACGAGCAGACATCAATGGTATTATAACGCTAAATCGTTCTTCTTTGCTTCGAATCAAGTTTTGAGTTGATATACGAGGACTAGGTTCGATTATCGAAGCACGATTTGATTGTAGTCGAGATTCTATAAAGAATAAAAAATGCTTAGAGAATTAATAAATTTTTCAATCACATACTTCGAATCATTTGTGTTAAAAGTGGTGTAACCGTTTTATTATTCTATTAAATAGAAAATAGAAATAATTTACATTCAGTTGGAATGACTTACTAATAATTGTGATGTATGTTCTTCGTCTTCATCAGCTTCGTTTATAGTATGAATATTTGCTAATAGTATTTCTTGTTGTATCTTATCATTTCGATGAATATCCTCGGATGTAATCAAATTTCTATGAAGAAATGCAACTTTTCAAATGAACTTTTTCAAAAAACAATCCTTAGAACATACTGATCGATGGCATTATGAATTTCTTTCCAATGTTCATTTTCTTCACAGAGAATTAATTGAATAGCATTACAATGTTCTTGTATAGCAACACGAACATTTTCCATACGCTATTGTTTGAAAAGATATTCGAAAATTAGACAATACAACGAACAAAATATTACCTTATCGAAATAATCATCTAATGATTCCGATGCTACATCAGTCAAATTATATAATGCACGAACTTTCTTTTCTTGATTGATTAAGCGTTCTTGACTTTCATGAATATCTTTCTCAATGTCAATTTTTTGAAAAAAAACTTCTCGTAATTGTTTATTTAATTGTGCTAAATAAAGAAATGAAAATTTCTATTATTATGAAAGGATAATGGTCATTTTTTCTGTATTTCTATTACCATTTATACTGGCTTCTACCAGTCGTCGTGCTTGTCGACATTTATTCCGTGAAGCTTCGAAGCGTGTTCGATCCCACGTTAATGGTATATCAAATATAGTGCAATTAATTGAAGTAAACATAGTAGAATTTGCAAAAACAAGATTTGGAAAATGTTACAGTTGAAAATGTCAATATCAATAGACAAATTCGTTTCTTTCTTTCTTCCTTGAAACACAAAGGCATTGTCCGTTCGTTCGCGTCAATTATGAGTCTATCATCCAATCGATGGTATACTAGTATAGATGTCAGATAATACATGCTCGAGACTCTTTTGCGTGATTATGTATGAATGAGTTGAAAAGGATATTTGTTTCAATAACATTTTAACTCAAAAATAGAATTTAGATGAATGAATTCAAGAAGATGGCAAACAAGATTTCGTTTAGAATCCAAAAAAATGATGACTGCTAAACTTAGAAAACAACAGGTTCATTATAAACAAAGGGTTTCTACTGTTTAATGAAAATCAGAGGAATCAACAAGAGAAACGCCTAACATCTTGTGTACAGCGAAATTTCGTTACCTCTCGGAGTCGGTACTTGATGCAATTAGAAATCTGCATATTTTTCTCTATAGGAATTTGTTTTTTGATTATTCTCTTGTTTTGATAGAAACAAAAACTTCATGATTTTCTGCTTTTTGAAATGTAACTCTTTGAATCTATAACAGAACTTTGAATATTTGAAGCTTTTCAACTCCATTATAATTCAACTGAAAAAGAAAAGCCCTATTACTACTGACATCTGCGATCGATTAGGAAGAGCCAGTCATTCTAATAAGCCAATCAATATGCTTTTGGGAAAATTGATATATGAGCGGTAAGGTGTCTATCCTTTCATTTGTACAATCAGCAGTTTCGATCATGCATAAATCAACTTCTAGTTCATAAACTAATATCGATGCTCGTTATTCTCAGGTAAACACTTTTTTAATAGATTGCGCGTATATTTTAGAATTATTCATGCAGATAACCGATAGTCCATGTTGTTCGGATTCACTGATATGAAAACCTAGTGCAACTGCTCCGTAATGATTCTCATCAAACTTTTCATCTATCGAATAAACAAAAACCATGCTCACATATGCTTGTACTAGAAAACAAACAATTCGTACTTTCTTTATTATCAACGTCACCTGAAACAAAATGAAACAAAAACAAAAAGTAGAGATAAGCCTGAGTTATGTTCGTTGTTTTGAGACTCATTCATCACATGTCATATAAGTGCCTGGTGGGAGGACCAGTTTTACATGATATTAATTTGAATCGCTTTATAATCAAACTGATCTCATCTATTTTCACAAACATGAATAAAATATCAAGTACACTCGACAACAAAATGGTCTTGAGTCGATATTTATATTGCCTGATGTATCTTTTCTTGAAAACTGGATTTCTCTATTTCTTGTCAACTATTTCTATTTTACCTATTTATGATAATTGAAATTTGAAATATGTGCTTATCAAGTGAAAGTCATGCAGCAGATTCGTTCTATTCTATTATAACAAAAGATGATGAACAAGATTGACGTGCATATATCATATTTGACTTTTCTAATATCCTAATTATCAGTGATCGGCTCGGATCTGGTCATGTGAGAAAATCGTGTACATTGAAAATATACTTGAAATATTGTTTTAGGTGAACGTTTTCTAAACAATAGTTTAGGTATAACGCTGAGTTTTTTAAGCCTTTTTTTGCAGGATGATACCTAGCGAGTCCTGTGTCTCCTTCACGCATAATATAAAAGCTACTGATTGTATATATTGAAAAGGCATTTAATGAAAGGACTGTATTGCTAACATCGTGCGATGTCAAAGACATGTATTTTGTGTTTAATCACGAATAGCAAGGCAAAAGTATAGACAACTTCTATTGAGTTCGCAAGATATTGTCTCAATTGAAGACAAATATCGAGTAACATATTCTTCATAATCAAAGTTGATTGGTTTTCGTAAAAACCTTTAACAGATCTCTAATCATTTATAAATTTGTGTATTTGAAGATGCGCATGATTTATTTGTGTAGAAAACGATTTAATTTTGTTTATCTCATTTAGAAGATGAGTAACTTGAAACGACCTCATCAATCAACATCAGATTTAAATAATAATGAAATTATTTCAAATTCAGCGGTTCAAAGTAAAAAATCGAAATCAGTAGACAATTCGAATGGCAAAAAGCCATATACGATTGGTCAAATCAAAGAACTTCATATGCTTAATTTTATGTGCCATAAAAATTTTTCTATTGAATTCCATCCAACTTCCATGCAAATTGTTACTGGTGCTAATGGCTCAGGTAAAATAGGCGAATCATTTATTGTCTTGATTTAGAAAAGAAACAAAATCGTTTTTTTAAAGGAAAATCAACAATAGCAAATGCAATTTGTCTATGTTTGGGTGCTCAAGCAAGAACGACAGGTCGAACAACAAATGTTCAATCGTTTATTCGCAAGGGCGACACGTGAGAAAATTCTGTTGAATTATAATTTTCATTTATAATTTTAAATTTAGTCACGCGGAGTTATCAGTTACATTGGCAAATGAAGGAGCAGAAGCATATAAACCTGAAATTTACGGAAAAAATATTCATATTATACGAAGAATTGGCGCTAAGCAATCAAGTTACAAAATTTTGGGTAAATAAATTCTTTTTCGCATATGAAATATTAACAAAATTAAACATTATTTCCAGGAGAAAATCGTCAAGTAATAAGTACTCGTAAAGAAACTATAGACGAAATAAACCAAGCATTGTCTATATCACCGGAAAATCCATTATGTGTTTTGCATCAAGAAATTGCAAAAACCTTTCTATTGCACAGCGATCCTCAGAAGAAATATCAAGTAAGTTATTTATATGAATCTAATTGATCAAAGAGATATTAATATCAACTGTGTGATAAGCAATCTTTTCCTATTTTATTTTTATTAAAAACATATCAGTTCTCAATATGCGAAGTAAAATCTTCGAGAGAAAGCGTTGGATTTTGTAGGGAAAAGTCATTTCTTCTGGACTAATTAAATTTTTCAGTATAGAAGACTAACACCTTTTATTCTTGTAGAAAGCAGCAAAACTTTATTTTTAATGACGCTCGTAATAACACACTATGGTAACGTCATGCAAACAGAATATGTCCTATCAATCACGTACAGAAAGAGACTTACATGATGTTATGCGCTTTGAGTCATGCTTTAAAATGCATAAAAATAAGTAGATTGTTGAATTGTGTATATTTTAACGATAACAATAAAAAGATTCTCTGATTGTTTCTATACTAATAGTAAATTGTGTGAATATTAATAAGTTATTTGAAAGAAGAAACAGATTACCTAATGATCAGATAATTCGAAGGATGTTTACATAAAGGAACTTATTAAATATCACAGTGTTCCGTAAACAATTTAGAGTAATCGTCATTTCAGACAAACTTGTGATTAAAACTAACTATCTGAATTGATTGATTATATTGTGTTTCGTCTCATACTATACTGAATTTCCTCTTTTTTTTTTTAATTTCTAGTTCTATATGAAAGTCTCTCAATTGGATCAAATAAAACAAGCGTACGAAGCAGCCGTATATACTGTACAATCGATTTATCAACGAATAAATAATATGAAAGATGTAACAAATCTATTGACTGCACTGAATTCATTCTTCTAAGAATCATTTTTCTTTGTTTTTTAGAGACATGAAGTCATGCTACGAACTATTGAATTGTTAGAAAGAGACGTGAAGAAAATAAATATTAGACGTGAGCAAGACAAAAAACAGCATGAACTAGAAGCTGAACTTATTTTAGCTCGTGGAATGGAGACACAACAAGTATAGAATTCAACAAAGTAAACTTGAGAATAAATGTTGCTATTTTTTTCGTTTTCAATCTAGGAATTAGTTAAACTACAAAGTGAATTAGATCAAACACAAAAAAGTAAAGATATAATAGAAGCAAGAATAATCGAAGCAACCGTAATTAAATATCTTTATTTTGTTGTATATTATACGTGCTTGTTCTTTGTAGAATCAAATTCGTTATTTTGATCAACAAATAGAAACTCTTGCAGGTGAAAAATCTGATCTTGAAAAAGATTTAAACGGTAGAAGTGGTTTACGTGAATTAAAACTTCATTTTGCCAAAGACCAAAAAGAAATGAAACTAATGATTTATCGTCTGTCACGTGAATGTGAAAAACATCATGAAACATTAAAAGACAATGAACAAGGTCGAATCCGTTTAAAAAAATATATTGTAAGTTATTCAATATTGAAGACGTTTATGCAGTGCAATGAACTCGTGGGCGATAATTTTTGCGAAATTTATGATTATCGTACTAGATAACTATTTAGAATCACCATCTTCAAAGAAAAATCAAGGTGAAATATCAAAGTTATTCTATTTAAGATGTATCTCAGTAGAAAATTTCAGAGCTCATTTGTTTTTTGAAGTTTCTTACCGATGAGATGGAGGCGCAAAAGTATCTCACTAATGCATTATCTTAGCAGCAATAATCTCTCAATCCTGATCAGATTTTGCACGATAGACACTGTCTAGACTGATATGTGTTGACTTAGTTTGAACAACTCTACTCAATAGTGTATATCACATATTGGCCATTGATGACATCGAGTAGTATTTAAAAGATGAAAAACAATATAATAAATTAATTGTATTAACCCCGACTTAGATTGAATCTTCTTGAGAGACATAAGATTTCATACTCTATTATTAGCTACTTTATCATTGGATTGTGTATTAGTAAGTAAAATTCAAAACCGATCGTAATTTCGATTTAGATTTGTGGGTAAACTTCTTATTTTATGCTTAAAATTTCCTTAATAAAAAAAAATCCTATTTATTTTCTGTACTTAGGATGAATTCGAAGCGATAAACCGACAATCAAATATCAGCGAAGAACAACGTGTTAATCTAAATGAAGAAATTCAAAATCGTAAACGGCAGAGTACTGAATGGAATAAAACCATGGAATCGTTGACCGATGATTTAAACATCAATGATGATAATATTCGTAAGAATCAATCAACTATTAATTGCATCCAAAATGAGCTAAAACAAAAACAAAATGATATTGATGAATTGAAAAAAATCGAAACGGATAAAACCAATATCTATGGTGCATGGGTACCAGAATGTTTAAAAGCCATTGAACGAGATACTCGTTATCATAAGAAACCTATTGGACCCATCGGTCGACATATACGTTGTATTGAGCCACGCTGGTCATATGCTGTCGAAAAACATTTAGCTGCAAGCATGTCTTCATTTATTTGCACCGACAATCATGATGAACATATTCTACTTGAATTATTTTCAAAGTATTGTCGAGGTTACCGTCCAACCATAATTGTTAAGAGATTTTCAGAAGAACTTCCTGACGTATCTGGAACATTAGAACGTGTACAACGTGCCAATCTTTTATCTGTTTATCAAGTTTTAAAAATCGATAATATCACTGTAGCATGTGTATTGATTGATCATAAACAAATCGAAGCAACAATTTTAATTAAAGATTTACAAGAAGCAACACGCATTCGGCAAAGTGGAGTATTACGTTGGGATAGAATTTATGGAAAAGTTAAACAAGTCGGTGAAGCATTAACATATGATGGTTCAAATATCAAATTAGATAAGGCATTTAGAATTTATACCAATGATAGACAACCCGCACGTTATTTTACATCGAATAGTACTCAAGCATTATCAATCGAGGAATTAAATACCGATATAAAACGGTTGCATGACCAAATTAAACAAACGAATTTATCAATGAATGAATTGAAAACTATTCGACAAACAACAAAAGACAATCTTGATAAAATAAAAAACATGATTAATGAAAATAACAAGAAAATAATTGAATTAAATCAGGTAATTTGTTGTCATATTTGTTTATGAAAATATAAAAATGTTTCAAGTACAATAGATCATTTAGTAGTTCTTTCATAACGATGCATAAGTGTATATTTAGGATTCCTGTCAGTAAGATTTGTTGATAAAGTGTAAGTTTAATATGATGTATAAATGTGAGTTGCACGTTTGTTGTTGTTGTTTTTGTCGCACTTGACATGTTTTTCGTAACAATAACCTCTAACACGTTGTCTGATTCATGTGCGATTACACATATGGATTTTTTTGGAATCGATAACAGCTTGGAAATAAACTTGGTATCACTTTTATGCTTCAAACAACATTTTCACTTTCATTCAATGCACTATATTTATGAATTACGTCAATAAGTTTGATGAGTCATAAACGAAATGAGAATCAGATCCGTATCCCTAGGCTTCAATGATCTTAATTGAATTGTTACGATATAGTTTTCGAGTCCAATAAGAAATTATCTTTTCTCATACTGTTCTCTTTCAATATTATTCTCAGTTTATTAAAAATATACGATAGTTCAGACTACAAGTAATTTTAAAATTCGTTGTTTTCTCCTAGATAGCGAGATATTTCTTAGGGATACATAAATAGTTGTAGTTCTTTTAGTTGATGCAATCTTCAAGCCGTAGTTTTGCTTTATTCTACCTTTCGAGCGTTCATCTAACATGGAAATTCCATGAAGTATCATCTCGTTGTCACCATTTTGTTTTCTTTTAGCAACTTGACCGTTTAAATTCTACAATGCCGACGGCGTACGATTACTCACTCGATGAATTACAACAAAAATTAAAAGAATGTGATGTTGTTCACCATGCAGCAACGAAAAACTTCGAAGAAGCGAAGGAAAAAATGGAAGTTGAACATCAACGTCTTGAGGATGTAAAACGAAATCTTGAAAATATAGAGAAAAAATTCGATTCGAAAACTAGTGAATCTGCTATTCTAACAGAAAAAATTAATAATGAAATAGCCGAACGTCAACAAATTCAACAACAAATACCAAAATTCATCAAAAAATGTTCACAATTCGATGAAGATATTGCAAAATATCAGGAACAATTAAATGAATTAAATAGAAATAAGCCTAAAGTAAAATACGATAAAAACGTTTCTTTTTTGGGTTTTTTCATTCAAATATCTTTTTGCTTTCTTTTTCTAGAAACTAAAAACATCAAAAACAACCGATCGTTCTGTTCGTGATATTCAACAAGAACTGGATGTAATAAATCATTTTCTTATGTCAAACGAAGACACGTTAGTAGAATTTTTATCTCCGCTTGACTTTTTTTTTGTAACCTTTATTGTTTCGATATTAGTATTGAGAAGCGTCAACAAATCATCGACGAATTCAGAGCAAAACGTCTTGCTGCACAAGAATTTAAAAGGCTTTATGAACGATGCTTTCGACAAGTTCAAGTAAATATCTGTTCTTAATAGTAGCAAAAGCAAAAATTTTAATAATTATTTCTGTTTTAGAGTTTAGAAAAATTTGTGAATAAACGTAAAGAACGTTTCGGTCAAATAGCTGATGAACATCAATATTTACTTCGACATAAATTTAAAGATTTAATGGGAAAATATCGATTTGATGATTGTGATATTAAAATTGATCACAAAAAAGAGGAACTGGAAATATCTGTATGTTGAAATTATTTGGAAACAAAGAGAAATCTATTATTTATCTAATATTTTTATTATCCTACTAGATAAAAAAGAATAAACGTAGTGCTTCGTCATTTTCCGGTGGCGAACGATCAATATCAACATTTTGTTTTTTAATTGCACTTTGGGGATCGATTTATCAACCATTTAGATTACTTGATGAAATCGATATTTATATGGTAAATATTGTTTTTTTATAACTTTAAGTTGACTGTCTTATCAGTCAAACATTGCATCACCGCTACCTAAAAACTATTGGAACTGAATAACTTTCATTAATAATTATCTGCATGCAGGAAACGCTTCGGAATAATCTTAATCATATTCAGATTAGTCATGTTTTGCTCTTAGCAGTTCTTTTGAATGTTTTCAGTTCCATTATAGAAGAAATTGAATAGTATGAACTATGTTTGAGTTATACAAATGGAAGCCATATAAATCTCAATTGTTCGTGTCTGAATTCAAACCTGTGCTAAACTAACATTTCTTTTTGTTTTTAGGACAATGAAAAACGCAATTCATGCCTGGAACATCTATATGAAAATACTCAGTACTATTCATCATCTCAACATGTAATATTTACTCCGCAAGCAATTGATTCTACATTATGGAAACGATTGAATGTGCCTGTTTTTTGTATGCCAACACCAAAACGTTCATTAGAATGAGATGGATGTTTGTTTTTGTTTGTATATTGTTTATTTGCTTTTATTATAATGAAAAGAAAAAAGTTGTACTAGTCATTGTCAATGTGTTTTTTCGTTGTGTGTGTGTGTTTTTTTTGTAACAAAGAACAAAATATAAGGTGGAAATTTGTTTTTCCACAAATAAATGAACAAGGTCCTATGCATGAGAAGAACAACGAACTATAGTCGTTTGATTTATTTCTTTCGTTTTTATGATGCCAGTTTTGTATCTATTTGTGCTTGCTTATTTTTTTCTGTTGTTGTATCGAAATGTAAATAAAAGTTGAAAACAAAAAAGAAAACTAATTTATTAAGAATAAAACATTTGATCCATGTGGTCTTCATACGAACTGATGGAAAACGAGCGAAGCGATTATCGTATTGATGATATTTTATAGGTGCATTTAAAATTTTTGATTTTCATAACGAACAAAATTATTTTAGTTAGCAGCTTCTGTGTATTTATGATTTAGAGTATGTTGTACGTGAGGTAATTCGAATTTCGTACTCAAAAAAAAAATTGTTAATTGATTGTAACATTTAATCGAAAATCGCTGATAGAACATACAACGTTATTCGTAAAACTTAACTTTTTATTTGTTTATTCATCCTAATATATTCTATGGTTTTTTGTTTTTATAGAAAAATATTTCGGAAAAAAAATTGAAAAAACAAACAATCACATCAATCATTCATGCAGTAGCCATTTTTGATTTAGTCCTGTGTGCTTTTAAACATGATGTTGAACAAAATTTATAATCAAAATATGTAAATGGCTCATCGGAAATCTTTTTCGCACATTGCCAACACCGTCCTAAATGTAGCTCATCACGTTTATTTGTTTCGAAATTAACATGTACCGCTAATGTACGTTTTTCTGCCTCGGATAAAGCGAGAAAAGCAATACGCTGTTGTTCCTCCTCTTGTTCACGTATTTGCCTTTCTTGGTCACTGCGCTGTTTATCAGTACGACGTTTTTTTGTTTGTCGACGACGTTCACGTTCGACACCGCGTTGTCGTTCTAATTCATCCATACTGATACTTGCCGCAATTTGTCCAAGTGCATAATCATATTTATCGGGATGATCATGTCGAAATAAACGAAAAACATCTTTTGTTTCTTTATTTTTACATAAATTATATGGATATTTTGCTCGCTGATTCGATAATGATGGATTAGCGCCTTCTTTCAATAAACGCTGAATAATTTTCAAGTGTCCACGTTCACTTGCTATATGTAAGAGTGTATCGAGACTGCCTGCTGTTTGATAGTTAAGTATATCGGCTACGGATGGAGATTTATCGATTGATTTTATGGCATGTAGCCGAGAGATAAGATCATCGAATCGTTGAATATCATTTAGACGACAAGCAGTAAATAATTCATTGAAATCTGACAAGTCTTCAACAGCTAATTAAACAAAAAAAACCAAGAGTTATTCAAGTTAAAATTAAGTTCGTAGGAAAGTTTAGAAACAAAGTAGCTATGACTTTTTCTCCCTAGCGGTGACATCTAGGATACAATAGATGATATGTCTATCATGGTATATTTTGAAGAATTCTCAGTTTAGAATGTTTTACATAATGAAGCGTTTCATAGAATGGGCGCATTGCGCTCAAGATAGATTATAAAGAATTCGAGAATATTTTATTCTATTCGGAAATATTTTTGTTAGAGTCGAACGAGATGGCTCTGAGACTCGTAGTATTTCTCCTTGAATGATATAATTTCAATAGAGAAAAATTTTTGGTTCTATTATTATTAATGTTACCTTTTTAGGAAAAAAAGACTTTCTTGCTTATACAGGGAACTTACGTAGTATTTTTCGATCATTAGTTGTGGGAACTAAATTTGGTTGTTTTTTTACTGTTTTTTTAGTTGATTTCTTTTTGATTTCATCATCTTCTTCTAAAAAAGAATATACAATAGAATTCAAAATTTAATAACAAAAAAAAGAACACTAACTTAAATCATCTTCGGAATCTTCGGAATCTGATGATGATGATTCAACGACTGCTTTCTTTGTTGTTGATAATTTTGTTTGTGAGGTCGATACTTTTTCTTGCTCGACCTGCTGAAACTGATAATCTTCAGCTAGAATATCAAATCATTCAGTTGTGATGAACAAACAAAAATATCAATTTATCTTACGGTAAAGTTCCATTGTAGTTAATTGATCATAAACACGTTTTATTTCACTAAAAGTTGGTCGAAGTGTAGCGAATGGAATCGATCGAATTCTACGAACGAATAATATATCATAAAGAATTAATTTATAAAACTATTAGTATTCAAACCTTGGATCACTGGCTGATAATGGTGCGTTTTTATCACCAAATAATAATTGTTGATTGAAACTTGGTGCTCGAACAAATATTAACAAACATCTTTGAATTTCATTTTTCCATGTTGTAAAAAGTTCGTGAATTTTCTATTTAATAAACAAAAATAGAAGATCGAAAATACAAATAAACTTTTATTTTTACTTGTTTTAAATGAAGCATATTTTGGCGACGTAGATTTGCGCCTGCTGATCGAGCTTTACCGCCTGTTTTTTGATCATGCGCCGATTGTGCTGAACCTTGTTTAGCACGTACTATATACTTATGAAAAGTTTTATGTTGAATTATTTTATCGCGTTCAAATAGTGCTATTGCAAAATGACCACCAGCAGCCATGACAACGCACCAATATGTGCATAAGGGAAGTCTTTGAGCAGTGATTATCAATTCTTGAGACTCTTGAGGAAAATTCTAAATCAATAAAAATATGCTAGTAATGAATAGATTCCAGGTTAGCGTTGTAATTCATATTTCTTTTCCCTATCAATACTTCCTTATTAAGAATAGTGAACAAATTTTACTATGAAATATTTTCCCATTGAAATCTCGCTAATGCGAACATTCGACACATGATTTGTTTAAAAATAAATAAACATCAAAGTTGAATCAAAATTAATCAGTAGCGATATTTGTTTAAAGACAAAATTTCTGAAGACAAATGTAGATTCAACTATACTGAGAGCACTTCTTCAAACAGTTCTCACAATGCCTACTATACTGGAGTATTACTGTTTATAATAGTATATCGAAGTTGTGCAAAAACATTTAAGAAACTGAAATATATTGGCCATCTTAAAATCAGCTTGTCCATAAAATATTGATAGATAAACTTATTTACTTACAATATTTTCCTTTGACATTCATCTACAATATTAAATAGATTCCAGAACATTTTCTCCCTTCTCTTTACTTCATTTTATTTTGAAGATCTGATAAATTGAATTTGATTTAAAAAATATTCTATTAAGAAAATACCTTTTTTCCATGTAAAATACATCGATACAATGATAAATGTCGACCATCGGCAAGTGTTAAAATAATTTTTGGATTATTTCTCGCACATGTATTATAAGAGCCGTCTGCAGATGGATTTAGTGAACTTTCACTTTCGCTTAATTCATCATCGGATGAATCGCTTCCTGATATACTCGATATATCTTCTACGAATGCATCAAGACAATAAATAAGCGATCGAACAATGAAATATATAGCCTACTTTCCATATCTTCAAATTTTTCTGATGAAAATGGAAGTTGATTACGAAGTTTTCGTTTTAGATTAAATCGATGCCAATCAGATTTAAAATGAATTGTCTAATGATATTAAACAAGAAACATGTGAATGAACAACTTTTTCTTTAATGTATGTTTGAAGAAAAAAACCTGTTCTGTTCGATCAATAAATTGAATTTGACAAGTAGCACATGCTAACGTATCAGAAATAGATAAATTCTGTAATTGAAGTTCATGATGATGCTCTATTGAAGTAATATAGGAAGTAAAATTTATTTTGTTAAAATTATGCAAAGCATACTCTCAATTCCAAGTGGATCAACGAGTGTTTCAGGAAAATAGACATGCTCAGTGAATGGACGAACAACAGTTTGTAAACAATGATCAAGTTCTTTATCAGCAAACAATTTTAGTTGTTTAAACGACGCCATGAAATAGAAAAGTTTCTTGACTAGAAAAAGAAAAGATATTTACAGGTAAAATGAAACTTTTCCTGAGTATTTAAATATGCATCAAGAAAGAGAACAAAAATATCGCCTCGTCGTCGAAGTCTAATATTGTATTGCAAAAATTATTACGAAATATATGCAAGAAAATGACTCAATACAATTAAAACTGGAAAACAAGAACAAAAATGCGAGTCATCAAATATTTTATGTTCAATGACTCATTCTAATCGAGCATTGGCTATCGTTATAACAAATCAATTGAATAGATTCTTTCTCACATACACACCACGTATTATACTTTTAAATCCAATACCAAGTTATTACCTCCTATTGATTTTATTTGCAACTAGCTATTTTTGTTTTATTTCATTTCAGATGTCCAATTTATCATCATTCCTAGTTCGCCGAGCTACTCAATATTATCCAATTCGTCAAATTCATTTAACAAGATATTTTTATAATCAACGATATTTCACTAAAAAACATGAATGGGTAGAATTAACTGATGCAAATAACAAGCAAAACGAAGTTCGTATTGGAATTAGTGATTATGCTCAACGTGCTCTTGGTGATGTTGTTTATTGTGAACTACCATCAATTGGTGCAAAGTTTAAAGGCGATGATACCTTTGCAACATTAGAATCTGTTAAAGCAGTATCAGATTGTTATATGCCAGTTGACGGTGAAGTATCAGGTGTGAATGAAAAATTAAAAAATGAAGCAGATCTAATTAATAAAAGTCCATATGCAAATGGGTGGCTTATTCAAGCTGTTGTTGATGAAAAAACGAAGAATTATATAACAAAAAGCTTAATGAATGAAAATCAATATAACAAGTTTTTGGAAACAACTAAAGAAGCTGATGATCATTAAATTCTTTTTCCCTATCCTAATTAAAAGAACGTTTAAAGTTCCTAGTTTCGTGTTTTGTTTGATTGTTGTTGTTGTTGCGACGCAGTGACGATAAAAAAAACGATTAGATAGATAGTTACTTTTTTCTCTGTCGATTATTGATAATCAAAATCTTATATCTTTGATTTTAAGATTGATAGTAAAATGTTACAAGGTCTCTTTGATGAAGATGCTGGAGATGGTGAATGTAAGTTAACTATTAATCAAGATTTATGCGTTGATAAGAGATTATGAATATGTAGATTACTATCAAGGAACACCTAGTACAAATTCAAAGTCTACGGTCGAAAAACCTTTACCACCACGTAATGAAACAAATTTGTGTGGCCTACAAAATCAAGGAGCTACTTGGTAAGATTATTTTCTTTTTAAAATATTTGTAAGGCATTAGCGTTTTCTCTTTTAGTTATTTGAATGCTCTCATTCAAACATTACTTTTTACGCCTGAATTTCGTGGTAAGTAGTGAAGCGATCTCAAGTACTAACAAGATATATCTCAGGAAAAAATGTTAAATTCTTTTTTGTTCGAAATTCAACATTTTACATAAATTTTTAGTGATTTTATCATCTTTGGTTGTGTACGTACATAATCAAATGTTTCCGATGTTGAGAATTATTAAATAATGATTTAGTTTTATTCTATTCGTAAATCAAAATAAAACATAATTTTGCCGATCCCTTCGATTCGTACGGAATACTGCGCGGGATAGTTTTAAAGATCGGTTCTATTGTGATTCTAGTAGATTATTGATGGAAGTGCAAGAAAACATTCTATGATATAGAGTATATTTTGAAAAAAAAAGCAGTTGAAATAGAATTATTTTATTCGATGTTCTAGAAAATTGAATATATCATTAGTATGATTTTATATCGTTTACTTTAGAACCTCTTTTCGAGCTATCTGCTAAAGATCTTAATCTTCCATCCAATGATTCGAGTCAAACTCCATCCAGCGGAAATATTTTAAAAGTAAAGCCTTCAGTTTTGTTTATATTTCTCTAGATATTTTCCTTTCGATAGGTTCGTAAGATCATTGTTGAATTACAACGTCTTTTTGCTGAAATGCTTTTACTAAATCAACAAGCATGTTCATCCATTCGGTTAACTGATAGTTTTGGTTGGCAATCGAATGAAGTTCGTATTCTTCATTATCTTCTTTCATGAATAAATATTATTATATTCTCATAGACATTTGATCATCAAGATGTTCATGAACTCAATCGTTTATTATTTGATGCTATTCAAAAGTCATTGCAAGGTACCAAACAATCAAATTTGATACTTTCTACTTACGAAGGTTCAACTATAAATTATACGCAATGTAAACGATGCCAGAAAATTTTTAAACGAAGAGTAAAATATTTTTGTAATTTTTCTCGTTTTCTTTTAATAATTTCCTTCGTCGTTTTTCAAGGAAGACTATCAAGATTTACCATTAGTCGTGCAAGATAGTCCTAATTTACATACATCACTAGCAAATATGTTTACTCTTCATGAACATTTAGTTGGTGATAATCAATATCGATGTTCATCATGTGCAAATGCATTATGTGATGCGGAAAAAGTAAAATCAAAAAATTAAAAATAATTTCATCCTTTTTCGTTGTATTTTCTAGTGGGCTAAAATAAGTAAATTACCACCGATTTTAACTTTTCCATTACAACGATTCGTTTATGATATTAAAACGGGCAATCGACTGAAAAAAACAACACGTTATGAATTTCCATTTGATATTGATTTGAAAGAATTTTGTGAAGTAAGATAAAAGACTACTGATGTTCTTTTACTATGAATTTTCTATTGTTTAGGATTCTGTGATCGAAACCGATTATGAATTATTTGCTGTAGTTATTCACAAAGGTACATGTTATTCAGGACATTATTATGGTTATATTAAAGATGTTGATCATATCGGATGCTGGACACGTCCACCACCGCCACTATCGCCTGCAGTAAGAGAATTATGTTTCAAAACATTAATTATAGATCATAACAGTTCTGTTCATCGGACATCAAAACTTGATAATTTATTTTTACAAAAGAATCAACAGAAAATAAATTAAATCGCCTTTATACTTTTCATCTTTCTGGGATAAATATACTGCGAATTATTGAAAGTGTTTCTTAATGGTGATAAGCAAAGGAGCAGATCAATTACGAAAAACTATTTTGTAGAATATAATTCAATGCATAAAATAATGAATTGCTCTTGTCATAGCGCAGCTTGTGAGACAGTAGATATGAGTTCCCATTTTTTCGATATCTAGAGGCACAAAAAAAAGAGAAATGCATTTTTTTTGTTTTCAAGGATATTGTCATGCATATAGTCAAAAAATCTTCGTATATTGATAGTTAAAAATTAACAAATAGATTTATTTTCAACATATTCATATTTTATTTATAGACAAAATCATCAAACAAACAGAAAGCTGCGAATGCACGACATGCAAATACTCCAAATAGTAAATCTCGTAATGATCGAACCTCGAATCAAACCGATCCAGTTGAAACTGATGAAGAAATAGCGAAAAAAATCGACATGATTCGAACAATACTATTATCATGTGATGATTCGCTGACTATCGACGATCTTTTCAAAGTATTTATTTATTGCATCAACTCGATTGATATTAAAATAAGAAAATGTTTTCTTACTTTCAGACATACCGTGACAATACAACAGTTCCGCGTGGTCGAACTCGTGGTTCTAATGGTACATTTGCAAAAGTAAAGATATTAATCGTCTGATTATTTACTTATTAATCATATTCATCGATGATTTTAATAGTTTCTTCGTACCCATCCCGAAGTATTTAACATAGACGATAAACGTGTACGACTAGTTGAACAAATGGATGTTGATGAAAATGAAGTCACTGATATGGATTATGAATCATCACAAACAGATAAATCATTAACAAACGACTATGAAAATGATGAATATTGGTTTTGTTTTGATGATTTAAGTGTAACATGTGTGACACGACAAAATATTCAACGACATTATGGATTAAATGATTGTGCATATATGCTATTTTATCGATTGAAAAATCATAGAAATAAAAATGGCTCTATCATGGATTGCTCTGATACATCCTATTCCATAGCACAATGGTTAATTGATGAAATAACAGAGAAAAATAAAATTTTAGAAGAAAAACGGTAGACTTGTTTGTATCATATTTAAATGAGAGTGTAAATTTATTTGTTTTTTTTCTTTTGCTTCATCTAGGGAAATATATGAAAAATATCAAAATCAATTACCAGTAACAATTTATCCAGGTGACTGGTTTGAAGTAATCGATGATTGCCGATTAAATTTAAATAATAACAATCAAGTACTGTTTCCTGATCAGTATGGTGAACATGTATTTGATAAAAGAATAAAAATAAATGAATTTATATCCAATCTGGAGGTAAATATTTATTGACAGATTTTGATAATAATAGATTAATTCTACGAATTTTTTTATGAAAACAAATAGCAGGATTTTTGCTAGTGACGGAGCTATACCATTAATACGTTAATAATGACTCGACCTTGAGAAATTCATTAGACTTGCAAACTGTTTATCGAAACTTGAAAATTAGTTATTAACTTTTTCTTCTTCTTAAGGATACATATGGTGCAGGAAGTCATTTTTATGTTGCTAAAAAGCTTCGTTCTGGTCAATTACATGTAGTCAGTGAATTAACAAATTCCAATGATGACTTAACATTAGATAAAAATGATCTTTCAAATTATCGTCATATAATTGTTTTTCAACATCCATCGACTTTGTCAGATACAGTTCTACAAGGTGAAGAATTCGAACCAATCATGCTAAATATAGTCTTTGGTTTTCCTGATGCTCATATTCATGCATCACGTTTACAAACGACACGACATGTATCGAAAAATACGACATTATTTGAATTAAAGAAAACTCTTTTCTTTGATTATTATCAACATGATGATCCACAACTCTTAAGACTAGTTCGTATGGGTAAATTAAATTTAGAAGAAAAAAACAATCGTAAATCACGCAGAGAATATAAAACTGATGAAGAAAAACAAACGCTAGGACAATTATATTTACACGATGGTGATACGTTAGGTATTGACGATAAAAATTCTTTGTAAGTTTTTAAATTGTTTACTCCCTGATGCTTTACTCTATCAATTGATTCATATTCTAGTGTACCAAGTTGGAAAGATGCTTCATCAAATAGTACAAATATGCGAAAAACTCATTTATCATTAACAGTTAAAAATAATATCGATTCAACAAATACAAAACCAATGACCTATAGCTGTTTAAATACAACAGTAAAACAAATCAATCATTATTGAATATAGAATATATATATATATATATATATTTTGTTTTTATTTGATGATTTTTAGCCTGTCGGAGAAGTTAAATCAATGGCTATTCAAGCATTTGGTTTATCCATAGATGCATCTCTGTGTCGATTACATATCGATGATGACTCTGATGTTGCACATATTCCACGTATGTTGCATGTTGATTTTAGACAGAAAATGTTTTTTTTTTATGTTAGTCTACGATCATCAAACTGTTGATACAATTGAATTTAAACAAAACAATACAAATCTCTGTTTAAAACTCGGTCAAGCTCTTAAAGAAAATCATCTTCTGATTTACATTCTATCGGATCGTGAACCTAATTCCCTTGAACTTGTTGCTGATCAAAGTATAACATTATTTGACTTGTGGAATTTAATTAAACAAGAACTTCATATGGATAGTAAGAGAAAGTTGAGCTATTTGATCTAAATGTGATTTTTATTTTTTTTGTATTATTAGATAATGATAATGAATATCATCTTTGTGAAGTTAGACCATCAATGATAAATGATGGTCCACCATTGAATGATTTTGATCAAACACTTCTAGTCAATGGGCTTACAAATGGTGTCCAGTTAATCATGCAATCAGGCAGCGTTGCACCGAGAAATCATGTTCGATTGAGAGCCTTCAGAATTACAAACAAATCTTATAAACCAAACGAAGCTAGTAAGAATGAAGTTTTATCTAACAATAGAAGGCTGCGAGATATTCCTGAAAAATTCGGACTTTGAAAATTTCCCTCCTAGATACCTTATATATATATATATATTAAGTATCTAAAATCTATAATGTATCATAAGAAATACTATTTATTTATGTCAAATCCTTTATTTTCCCTCAAGTATGCAACTTATTATCGATTAGAATTTTATTTACTTAAAAAGAACTTAAGAAAAACTTCGATTATGTAAACATAATAATTGTGTTTGATGTTTTTTTTTATTCTAGTTCATACTCGGCCTATATTTGAAATGATTGAACTAAAGAAACGCTTTGAATTACCAATTACATCATCATATAATGTTTTTCGTGAATCTATAGCACGATTTATTGATTTTAAAGTCCCATCGAATTATATTGACAAAGCGCAACCCCTAGAATTTATTCGTCTTTATGATATTGAAAATGATCAACCAACATCGATTGTTCATGAACCTGTTCTAACAACTCTCAAGTAAACTTTTCCTAATAAGAAAAAACAGTTATTTGATGTTTATTATCTTTCTATTTAGACAAGCTAAAGTACACGATTTACGTTCGTATGCTTTTGAAGTCCTATTGAATCCTGAATATTTAGCAAAAAAAGATTTACTTCTTAACATTGTTTATTCGAAAGATAATGCTAGTAGTTATTTTCAACATAGATCGGAACTACATTTACCATTAAGAGACAATACAGTTGCTAAATATGACTATCTTGAACAACATGTTTGGACACATTTTAAATCATCAAAAAATGATAATGATTCAACACAAATAAATAAAATAACATTAGCACGCTATTTTCCTGATCGAGGTCAATGGTTAATAATCGATCCTTCATCAGTAACAAATAAAAAAGTGAAAATATCAAATCTTAATCTTAAACTTGAACCATATAGATTAGATGATTTCACTGTTCTTGGTGCGCTGGAAGGTGAACATTTAACAACAGAAGATTTTGATACTCAATATGATAAAATCAAAAGACAAAACATGGAACAAGAAAAAGAACAAAAACGAACGAATCGTGAAAGAAATCGAACTGAAAATGATCGTAATCAACAAAACGGAAGTAGTGGACGTCGAAAATCGCCACAAAATGCAATGCGGATTAATGTTGATGATTTTGATGGTTAATTTCTATTGAAAAATTATCTCATTAGTGTTATTTATATATATATATATATTTTTTTTTTATAATCAAAACTATTCATTCCAGAGCATGTATTGAACTTTTTTTGTATAAAATAAAACATCCAATGTGATCGATAAATTTTATTTTTTATTATCGTAGTTCATTGCGAACACCTAAAATGCTGCTACAATAAGGGCAATAATGAGTAACTTTTTTGCATGCTGGTAAGCAGAATGGAAGCCATCCTAAAATACAAGTGATACAACAACAAATGAATGCTCCAATCAAAGTAATGATTGTAATAGCGATTTCAACGCGTGTTGTTACTGTAGCACCACATCGTGGACAAACCAATCCAACAGATTGACGTGGCCATTTATAAGCCTTTGAAGAAGGTGTGCCAGCACCCATTGGATACGATACTACTGGGTCTTAATCAAGAATCATTGAAATTTCATATGTAAAAGAGTTAGATTCTTACTTGCATTGTCATACGGAGATGCCTGTTGTTGTACTGGTACTGAATATTGTGATGATTGTGCAACCATCGCATAAGAAGGTGGCAGTTCTTTAAAACCTTGCTGATATATAGGTGATAGTTGTGAATTCATATTCATGTTATCGACAGTTTGTGTACCTGTGAATTCACCAGGATACATTGTTTATGCGTACGAATAAGTCGACACTGATTAATAAATAGAAGGTTGTTGTTAGTTATTATTCATTTTGTGAAATACTTACCGCTACAGTCCAAAGTAAAATGTGTATCTATACAAAAACGTCATGGTGATATACAAGGCTATGTTGATTTTTTTTCACGCAACGTGGGACTCGGCTCATTCACCTGTAACAACATACATACCTACTCGTCGTTTGCATCCATCGTGAATACGTGAAATTTCATCTTGATAGACCTTTTGAAAAATCCATTTGAAGTATTCTATTCAATAAAAAAAATGATTTTAGGCATTTTTCGAATAATAAAAACGATTCCGACGCCGGGAATCGAACCCGGGCCTCCTGCGTGAAAGGCAGAAATCCTAACCACTAGACCACGTCGGACTGTGTGTATTACAGTGGGTTAGTGATTATGTTTCGTAACTCCTCTGTAATGAGTAGTAGAAAAATTGTTCTAACTATTTCTGCAAACACAAATGAATCGGATGTCCGAAATTGAACCTGAACATTCTGTATGAGTCACATAAATCTCAATCACAAGAATATCAATTAATCTTCTCTTGTATTAATAATTTTTCAATTACGCTCTGATGTTGGGTAGCAAAATTTATACCACCAAGTCGAAAAAAGAAGCATTCCGACGCCGGGAATCGAACCCGGGCCTCCTGCGTGAAAGGCAGAAATCCTAACCACTAGACCACGTCGGATTGATACTCATGTGTTGGTATTATCAATACGTTTTACAACTAGATATTATTTTGAGGAGCAAAAAACACGAGAAAATGTATTCAATTTATCATCAATCAAAGTTATTGTTATAATCAGCAAAAGTGTTTACAAGAGTTAAATCAAAAACATAATTTATGGTAATTTTAGAGGTATGTATCAGGTTTTTTATTGTAATTCCTGGTCAGGTATATGATGGAGTAATTATCAAATCAACATAACGAACTTGTATATTGTGTGAATAACACTATTTTCGATTTGATGCATTATCTATTGAATATTTCTACCTATGCTATGACATCTCTATAGCAGTCCATGTCCAGGAAGAGAATAGTCAATCCCAAATAAATGGAACTTAAAAATAGAGAGTATATTATGATAGAAATTTAAAAAAAAAATTTTCCTATAAAAGAAAATATGCATCAAATTGATTGTTAAAGTGATGGTATCATTAGAATGCGAGGGAGTATCTATACATACATCCGACAAATTAATCTCATGTGATAATGTTTGAATGCATGTTGCTTGTGTGTTACACATACCATGATGCATTGTATTTGTTAATGAATTCTGTATGATAATTTTTATAGATAATGAGCATAATTGATCATGCAAGCTTCACTGTGGAACTGCAATGTGATGTATTCTCGGTTGAGTGCTACACGATGGCATTTTAGTAAAACGTTCTTATTTAAAATATACACTCTTCTCATCATGTATGTAATCGTTACTATTATTCACTCTGTATAGCCCCGTGGGTCACACGTTATACATAAGACTAAAAACAAGCTGTTTCGTTCTAAACTATACCTACAACATTTTTCTCCGTTTTCTAGATATTGCCAGAACAAGCAAAAAAACCGAATAAACAAAGTAGATTAATTGATGAAAAACTTATTTTATTTGTATTACTGAATGATTTTCTTACGACAAGCATGAGCAAGTTTGAATCCTCGCTAGTTTTATTGACAACAACAAGATAACAAACCGTAATTGACTATTCAACTGCAAACTCACGCGTTGGATGAAAATAGTAGTTTTTATGTACAAGAGAAATTTAATTGGTAATCATATTTCCCTATAAACTAAGTAACTGACTATGGATCTGTTAACAAAACATATTCGAAGAAACATGTACATCTATGTAACATCAATACTAGTTTAATATCTCATAGCAGTCTTTCAATCTCACAAGCTAGTATTTATATTTGGATGCTTTTAAAATACAACAGCATAACAAATTCATTTTTAACAAATCAGTTTCATATATATTCAACTCTAACGCAGGCTTTTTGTGTCTTCTGAAACTGTATGAAAGAGAAAATTTTATTTAAATTATCGTGGCAGTATTTTTTTTATTTATAAAAATGCTTCATTTTACTTTACCTTTGACTGTTTGTTTTAACCATCTAGATTCTTAGAACAATTTGGTATCAACAGAAAATGGAGCATGCAAACTACCTGCTAATATGTTTTATTCGGATTCAAAAAAATAAATAATATATTATCAAGCTGTTGTTAATTAAAAATATTCGACAATAACTACTGACATTCGCATGAGATTTCCTTTCTTTTTTCTTAATGACTTTAAAAATAAAAAGTAATATCTTAATTTATTGCTGTCTCACACAATTTTTCTCTTTGGCAAGAGAGACTGACCCAGAGAGCTTCTTCGGTACGAATTGTTCAACTTTCTTGTTCTCGAAATGTGTTAATATAAAAATCAAATAGTGTTTCAACTGTAATACGACCATCTTCTCGTTCAAAAGCATTATCATGTCCTTGTTAACCACAAAATACAATTAAAGCATGTTGAAAACGAGGAAATCTGCTGATATTTTCATGTGACATACCACGTTCCGATGTTCCAGTAATAAGATGATACTTTCGTTTCGTCATAATCATCAGATGGATAATTTTCAAGGATTTATTCGAATGGATTCAGCTTTTCGCACTTGATATCCTCAATACAAACCTCGATAAAGCGATAATAAATCGTTGTGGAAATCTCAAACAATCTCATCAAATTCTAAGCTAAAAGTACATAGACTAGCAATTTTCCTAGTAATCCTTTTTTTTATTCATCTGTTGACTTTCATGCATGAACAGAGGTTTGAAAAATTCTTAGTTTTTGTTTCATTTGAAACAGAGCTCGTCTTGAAAGTCGTTCATGCGAAAATATTCGCCTTGTGCCATATCTGTTCTTCATCTAGTAACACGAAGGCCTTGTTGCAAGCGGTTATCAATTTGTACTTTTATTTCATAAAGGTTAATATCTATCCATGAACCTTTTATTTCAGTGGGTATTAAAGATAATATTACGCCTTTACGATAAAACCAATATCCATTTGCACGTAAACGATGTGATGTTTTCAAAAAATTAAATAAACCAACATATTTCAGTATCTTCTATCGTGGAAGGAACTGTTTACATAGATATTATGTACTACAATGAATAACAAATAACGAGAAAATGTATAATTTTTTCCGCTGAATATCATTCAATTCGTGTACCATTCGGGATATTCTAAAAGTTGAATAAATTGCTCACTTGAAGTGAACGGATTGTTATCAATGTCTTCAATTATTTCATCATCATCATCATCATCGTCAAAGATAACTTTTTCATTGATATTAAAAATATATGTTGCTCAACCAATTTGTCCAACGAGATACATTTTCAATTCTTTCGATTATGTATTACATAAAGTAGATGGCGGCAACCCTGTTGATACTGTTTATGAACGTCATTCGATATATTGTGGTCTTCCTTCACTAGTCGGCGATCTTGACATCGTTCTTTCCAGATTCTTGTCCAAGACGGTAGCAAGATTCTTGACAGAAAAGACAAATCTTGATCTACCAGGCAAGAGTCTTGTAGACAGAATCTTGGCTAGTAGATCAAGATTTGTCTTTCCTCTCAAGAATCTTGTGTTCGTGAAAATCAGGTAAAATTCTTGCTGCTAACTCAAGAAATGATTCTTGCCTGATTTTTAAGATGAAAACGAATCTTATCTGGCAAGCTAGAAAAACAAGAACCTGGACAGATCGAAGTCAAGATCGTCGACTAGTGTTTTTTCGTTCGATTTCTTCGGTTTGTTCAACATTTTTCCCTGCACGAATTTGTTCTCTATATCTGCACCAATTTGTTGGATTTTATGATGCTTTCAGTGAAGGTATTGGTCTAGAATATATGAGTATCATCGGACATAACAGAGTTTTTCAGATCTGATTTCGTTGATGTATGAGACTAATGGAGTTATTTTTCTGATTACCATCTGTATTAGTTAAGATCGATGGGCCCATGAGTTTAAGAATGTGATACATTAAACTAGGATGCTGTTTACTGGAAGAGCGCGTCGTCTCACGTTGTTCAGCGATTTTTCAATGGAACAAACAAGTTGCTGATACAAATTTCAATCGAAGAATCTCATGAATATATTATCTTCTCTATTCTATATTGTTTAAATGAATTTAACTATATTCAATCAGTGTAATAACCAAAAAATAATCTTACGATGGCCCTTAACAAATATTCCCTTCGAGAATTCTTATAGTCGTTTAGTAAAAATGGTTCATCATGAACAATCACGATATTTTCGAATGAATGAAATTGACATGGGATGATAGCTCATTAGAATCATAATAGTTTTCTCTATTCTTTCACATTTTACTATCACCTACTCATCAGAATAGAGCTTCATTAAACAGACAGATTATGTCATTCAGCGATCAACTGCAGATATATGCTATTCAAATATCTATTATCAATATTGAACAGAAAAATATTTTCAAAAATTGTTAGCTTTTACAAGGAGATCAATTGCATACATATAGTATCAGCAATATTGTCCAGAATTCAGGAAATCAATTACATGTTTGCTACTGATCGCTTTCCCCCGATTCAGTATATCATCAACATCGATTTTGATATACAGTCTAATAGACAAAGGTAGAATATTCTTTCGGACGATCTAAGATGATTTCAGGAATTTACCGTCTGGCTGTTTATCTGAAATTCGGATAGACAAGTATGAAGCGGAGATCTGCATTTCGATCCTACTTCACGATAGAATATGTTGACGACCCTTGGCAATCATTAGCCGGTGTGTGCGTTCGATTTTAGAATACATTCACATTCATATTTGAAAGCAAATGGACACATAATACATTACTTTTTTTACTGTTTATGCGTATGTATTTCACTTCGAAATGCAATAATGTTATGATGAAACCAATATTTTATAAATATTAATCACATTCATACCAGTAAAGAATAATTCTTCTTATATTAATGCAAACACTAGAAAATCCTGATATTAATCATCAATATTGACGAGAAAGTACTTTATAAAAATATGCTTTCATGTGTAAGCAAACTACTGTATCATCTAGCATTTGCAATCGTTTTCACTCTGTTGTAATATTAATGTAAAATACAAATCAGAATCCTTGTCCATTTTACTTATTTTCAGAATATCGCCTTTTCTACTTCTCCTGACTAGATGTTATATGTTACCATAGTTGTATATTGACCTTAGTCGAACTTTTTTTCAAGCGCTTGACAAGACTTGAACTCAAGATGTGTCTATAGCGCAGGACCATCTTGCCCAAGAAGTTCAAGAAGATCATGCGCATGTGCACAAAAAAATTATAAAAATTTTTGGTACAGGTAAAAAGGTTTTTTCTTCAAACAATGCTCATTTATAGAAGAAAAATGTTCGATTTGAATGCATTTTTTTTACAAAAACTTCTCTTATTATCCGCATGTCAAGAAATATTTCAAGATGTGTCCATAGCACATGGCTTTCTTGCTCAAGATCATCAAGTATGTCATGCGCATCCCAAAAGATGTTTGACTAGGGTGAAGATTAATATTTTTAATATAGTGTAGTGTTGCAGCATCGTGATACATTGTTAATAGGAAGAAAGAACTCTTATTTCTTAAGTCTTCACTTTAGAAGGTTAGAAAATTGCGCAATGATGCATCAGTTCAACCAAGGTTGTTTCACATTTTCGTCATTCTTTATTTCCTGGCAGTTCTTTATATGTGTGCCATCTGTTGACCAGATTGGAATTATGGACTCATACTTTTGACAAAAGAGACAAAAGCCTTCCCATGCATAAAACATAGTTGTTTCTTGACAACCTGAACATTTACCATCGATTTCAGTAACGCCAGTCCACCATCTATAACTATTTGTTTCTGCTACTTTGAATCTTTTTATTGCTCGATCCCGTGATTGTTTAACTTCGAGATGAGAGCATCGAAATTCGAGTGGGAACTCTGCTATTTTAATTTCGTTTAATTCAAACTGAATATTGGAATATTTACGTATAGTTACATGAAGATCATCCAGTAATGTTACATTCCAATCGGTTGATCCAGTTTTTTTTTGAATTTTAGCAAGTAGTGGCTGAACTCTTACATAAAATTCTTTTGTTTTAACACTTGAATAAATAGGAAGTACCAAGAAATCAATACCACGTACCTTTACAGGACGGTTTGCACCAGAAATCTTTTTAATAGTAGATGCTCGAAAGACAACATCAGGAATAGATGGTAGACCTTCTAAAGAAGGAAAAAAGTTACTAAAATTTTTCTCTAATTGATGAGGTTTAATATTAGTCGAAAATTTAGCAAGTGTTATATGAAAGTAACCATCCCAAACGTCAGGTAATGTATATCCCAAACTTTTATTTGGGGCTAATAAGCCAAAATAATTATTGAATGCACCTAAACCGTTGAATACTTGATGGTTTTGATTATTTTCTCCAATGATACCCAGTTCAACTGGTTTCAATAGTAGATTGACAGCATAAACATTAGATTCATCATCACTTGCTTTCAGTGAAGATGCTGCAGAACTGCTACGGTCAAATGGTGCATTGTTATTCCTCGTTGTGGAAACTTGTTGTTGTTGCTCTTGTTGTCTTGAATCGGTATATGTATTGAAGAAAGGATAACCAGATGATCTTCTACCTCTATTGGGCCTCTGGGATCTGATATAATAATTATTTCCAGGATGTGATGGATAGTTGTAGTCGTTATTATTTTGATGCTCGTAATTATTAGCCATACTCTTTTGCTTGAATATAACAGGGATGATAAAAAAATATGCTGAACATTTTTATATACTCACTTTTTTTCCAATGCCTGAGGTATAAAAGAAAAAGAAAATTATTTTAATGTTGCTGACACACTACAGAAACATCTATATCTCTATAAGTATTCCTTTGCCGGCTAAGCTTCTAGATTTATTTTTTGCATCGTTAAAATTACTTTATTTTTTATTAATGTTTCAGTGTAGCGAAGAGAAATGAAGAGAGAGATAGAGAGAGTAAAAGAAAAAAATTTTCACACTTCCGTCTAAAGAATCCAGACAACGAGAAAAATGTAAATATTTAATGTTCGTGCATTTATTGCTACAAATTTCATATTTTTGAATTTGTTGGTATTTTCCCTCTTATTGTACCAGATTTCAACAATCAATTTTCATATCTACTTGCATTGCTATTCAGTGGCGTAGCCAAGGGAGGGGCAAATGGGCAATTGCCCATTTCATTTAGTGATTTACCCATTGTAATTTTTATTAGTAAGTTTTGCCCATTGAAATTTTATTTTTTCAGAATTGTTTATCTATTTTTGAATTTGATAGTAAGTTTTTTTCTTCCGTGTGAATCACACATACTCTCTTTGTTTGTTCTTGCTGTGAAGAATTAAGAAAAAGAAGAAGAAAAGAAGAGCATCTGATATTTTAATCAGGGTTACCAGATGAAAAACTTAAAAATTGTAAATTCTTCTTTTCAAAATCAGAAAAAAATAGAATTTTTTCTCCGATATCGAAAACTAATCAGAAAGAGTAACTTTTTACAAATCAAGGGCATCATATTAGCATGCTTGCACAAAATGGTTCAGCTCTTTTGTTTATCGGCTCATACTTTATTTCCAAAAGTATTTCATGGTAAAGAAAGACAATAAAAGAGTCCATCCGGTTTATCGTTTCCCACGGAAACGATAGAAAAAAGCTTCGAACGTTTCCAATCCCTATACGTCTACGTCCTTTCTATAAGTCTTAATCTTGTACATATCTATCTGTATCTCCTAACCTGTACATCCAAATCTCTACATCTAAATCTTTACGTCTTAATCTATACGTCCTAATCTATACGTCTTAATCTAATACGTCTTAATCTAATACGTCTTAATCTTATACGTCTTAATCTATACGTCTTAGTCAATACGTCTTAGTCTATACGTCCTAATTTAATACGTCCTAATCCTTACATCAAAATAATACAGATAAATCCTCACATCCCTTCTAGGTTACCCTATCTGGCGATCCCATGGGATTTTAGCAAGATCACCTAGACTTTTAGCAGCATTGCCGGGACCGCTAGCAAGATCATGTAGAAGAAAGAAGAAGAAGAATACCCTTGCCTTGCGGCTACCTTTCAGTATAGGGTGTTGTCCGGAGACAATTTCAAGAGCCCGATATTTTTCCTACAACTATTACTAGCTGCAGCTCTGGACAGAAGGCCGGCCTGACTCACAGTTCTTTCCGCTTAATTACTTAAGCTTCCCATGCATACTGACTAACCACATACTATCCATGAGGATATTTTTATGTATGTCACATGTAATCAGCGTGCTGTCGGATGGGTGATCCGAGACAAAGCAGCCGTTAGTAACTTGTCCAAGGTTATTCTATGGATGAAAGATCATGTAGGAACCTAGCAGCACCTGTGAAGCAGCTGCATTCGAAATTCGCATGTTTAACTCCACGGTGGTTAAAGGTAAATGCCGCTGTGTACACAGAGACAAGCGTTGGCCGCGGCTCTGTGGGGGTGGGGGTGCTGCGCGCCCCCACGCCGCAACACTAAAATAAAGGGTTGTGTGGTTACCCATTGTCTTCCTCTGCATAATCTCGCATTACTTATAATTTTTCGCTATCGTTTCTTTTTTTCCTGAGTTTGCCTGGGACTTAATTTTAATTTGACAATTGATGTGAATCTCAGATAATGCCTATAGCACTCCAAGTGAGGGTCAGGGGAGGGGATACTCATGGATGGACATAAAGATTTATCGATGCTGGTTTAGACGTGCTAGATTAGAGCATACAGATTAATACGTACAGATTAGGACGTATACGATTTAGATGTACTGATTTACACGTACAGATTTGGATATGATAAATAAATTTGTAGCTAGAAAATAATGACTGCGACCGACGTATCGGTTTATTGGAGATTTAAACGTACTTTAGAGCCCCTCCCGAAATCGTCGTCTCCTTTTCTATGAGCGTTTCCCAGAGAAACCATAAAGTGGATTACATGATCATACGTTGCATTTTCATAAACCCTATCGAAGGTGTTAGAGAGTACTCTAATAAGTTATTTATTTATGTATTCTTATACATTCTTGTTTTGTCTTTATACGTTATGTATTTCTTATATGTACAATCCAACTCGAGATGCGCATACGCCAACCGCTCTTTTTCATTCTTTCTTTCCTATCTCTGCATATCTCTCTATTGTGTCTTCTATCCTCCCGTGCGTGACGACGTAAATAATGGCATCGTTTCTTCGGCTGGAATTTAAGTGCATTTATAGAATGATGCACCATCATATTAATATACAAAATAGTCTAGCTGAAGAAGCAAATGCCTTTTTCCTTTGTTTCTTTTCTCTCTCTCTCTCTCTCTATCTTTTGTGTGTGTGTGTGGGTTGTATAGTATAAATAGGAAAAAAAAGAATAATAAAGAAAAAATTTAGATTCATATTAGGAATCGAAAATAGGAAATTTGTTGTTGATTGGTTAAATAGAAACATAAATTTATATTTTGTGAATTGATTTAAGTTGCAGCGGGGCCTCTGTAACACTTTCTATCCCAGTTGTTTCAATATCTTCATATTAAACACAAAAATGCATGTTTATCATTCCTCATTTTGCTGTCATTATTACCTACACTGCTATATTGTAAAAATCAAACACATGGCTAATGTAAAAATATCGATGATCGAATAAGATTACAGACCAGCCGATGTCAAAATGTTTATGTTTTAATGTGAGTCTACAAGAGGTATTACTTTGTATATAGGTATTACATATTTTTTCTTTTTTACAGCATAAAATGATTACCTGAGTCAATGAAGTGTGACTCTAATTTCGCTACTTCTTATTTTCGCATATCAAAGCATTGTTTCATGTACAACGCAACTTCGCCGCATAAGTGATTCATATTTTCCTTTCGGTTGTGACCAGTTCAAAACAAAAACGATGGGCATCTTACTATTTCTTTTCATCAAGCTAGCGCGTGGGTGACTGTATAAAATAATATTAACCAGGCACAGATCCTCACACCGACACCCTAAGAAACCATTTTTGGCGCAAAGGTAAAATAATCAACCCCTGTCCGTAGAGTAATAAACCATTCCGATCAAACAGTAGAACAATCGATCTCTCTACNTAAATTTTATAATTTATAAAAAGTAAATCTAAATCTATTCCTAAATTATAAATGGGAGTGACTGTCGACTTATACATTTATGATTTGTAAAATCTAAATCTATTTCTGACAGTGGCGTGAAAACATGGAACGGTTTTTTTTTCATTTATATTCGAAGTCGAATTAGGCAGCTACTCCTCTCGTCAGAATAATTTATACTAATAAACATTTTAAATTCAACGAAGATTGAACTACTAAAGCAGTCAATGAAAAGAATACATATGTGTATTAAAAAGAATGCACCATCTAGTACTATACCGTGTTGCCACGTCATCAGGTAAAACTTTTTTATGAGATTCCAGACAATTATGTCCACCAAAGGTAGCAAGGAAACCGATGCGATTGAGGTGCAATTCATCTAATTCCTAAATATGACTTATTTTGCATTTCAACACCCATAGCATAAAGATTGAAATTGGCCGATATAAAGACCAGTAAAATCAGACTATACTTTTATGTCTCTCGTGCCAAGGGTTCTTCGTTATAACCGATATTGATATCATATTTTGTCTGATCTTCAGGAAATTCGGAAGATTTTGTGGGAAATGAGAACACAAAAACAACATTTTTATCAATTCCTGTCAAACATTGAGTAGTTCCCTAATTTTTATACAAATATAAATGAAATTTTCGAAAAACAAACATGCCAACACTTGTGACTGGGAAAGAAATGATATCACTTTTTCATTTATAACGGCGATAGGACTTACTTATAAGTTGAAAATGCTATCTCATTTATAAATTTAAAAATTCAGTCATTGTTTCCTCTCCATGACACAAGCACTGGTATGTTTTTTTTCTCACCTATTCTCGTACTAATCCTATCCACTACGACGCTCACTTATATTACAGGTGGAATTCGATAGCTCATGTTTAAATGATTAAAATTATTGTATACGCATTCAAATGTGATAGTGAAGCAAGGAAACCTTTGGAATATTTCAGCAATCGTTGGAATCAAGTTCGCGGATGACTGAATATTTAGCCTTCTACAATATTTGATGAAAGCTCTTCAAGGTCTATTTATCTCTAGTAGATAAATCATTCTTTAAGAAGAAGAATACCCTGCCTTTCCGCTACCTTGCGGCGTGGGGTGTTGTCCGAGGACAATTTGAAGGGCTCAATTTTTTCCCTACATCTATTACTAAATGTAGCTCTGAACAGAAGGCCGGCTTGACTCAGAGTTCTTCGCGCTTAATTCCTCAAGCTCCCCGTACACACTGACTAACAACATACTAGCTATAAGAGCTATTTAATGTATGTCACTCGTAGTCAGTTTGTTATCGGATGGGTGATCCCAGATAATATAGCCGTTAGTAACTTATCCAAGGTCATCCTGTAACTGAATGGAGCCAAAGTTCGATCACAGTATCTTGTGGGTATGTGTCAAACATCTTAACCATTCTGCCATAGCGGCTCATTCTTTAAGAGTTTACGAATAGAAAAACTGAAAGAGCTACCAATATATAAACAAAAATAGTTAAAAGTCAGATTATTAATAGCAACAGCGACGTAACCAGGATTGTAAGACCAATGGGCAAACTTATCTTGGGTCGAAAAAACGGATGGGT